GAGCAATAGTTTAAAACCTTTGTATAGTATTATACGTATTCTTTGATTAATAAAAACAGGATTGCTTAAAAAAAAAATAAAATAAATATCTTAAATAAGGATTTTAGAATTAATTTAGTCTAGAATTTGATTAGTAAAACTTTAAATATTGAAAAAAAAAAGCTTTAAGAACTTCAAATATCATTAAAAGAAAAATAAATTATTGTAAATAAAAATTTTAAACTGCTTTTTAGCTTGTTTATTAGAAGAAGACTATCTTGTTGAATAAAAAAAAAAAACAAGTTTTGTGTTTATTGCTATTATTTAACACATACTTGATTGTTAGATAGTTTGCATATTTTTATTTGTTAAAATTAAAAGTTTTAACTTGTTATTTAATAGCTTAATACAGTAAAAAAAAATTGCTTCAGATTTATTCAATAATTAATGCTATTTAGTAAAATTAAATTTAACAAAAAGTTTATTTTATTACTTTTATTTATTTATTTATTTATTTTTAAAGTTCATTCAAATACAAGTAGATTTAACCAGTTAGATAGTATTATTGTATTTAGATAAATGAAAAATTAAGTGATGGCTAGATTAACTAACTAAAACAATATATAATGTTTAATTTACAATCCAGATATTTATTTACTCCAAGTAAAATTGGTCAAACAAAGCAAAATATTACCTTTTTAGATTTTAAATTTTTTAAGTTTATATAATCATTATATAACAGTAATACCAAATCAATATGTAATTATAACATTAAATTCTGCATTATTACTATTAAGCCATACAAATTTAATTACTTGGTTTTCATAACATCAAATTTAAAAATAGACCTGGCCGGCCGGCTTTTTTTTTTTAAATTTCATATATAAAATTTTATAAAATTTATATAAAAATTTTTTTTTAAAACCCACCCGGTTATTAAAACATATAAAAATTTTTTTTTAGAAGTTTTCAAATTTTGACCCAGCCGGGTTATGAAAACCAATTAATTAATTTTACATGGCCTTATAGTAAATAAAACCCAAATATTTATTGCTATATAATATTAAATTTTCTAGACAAATTTGTCTGAAATATAGTTAAGAATAATTTTTAAATATTACAAATCTGATTTTTTTTAAAAAAAACTATTAATACGAAGCTAGTTTTAAATATTATATTTAAAATATTTTTCAAGCAAATTTGTCTAGAAATGATCTACAGATTAAAAGATAACTTATTATTTTGATAAACTATCTAAAACAGATATTAAACTTGTAACAAAAAAAAAATTTAGCAATAATAAGTATTTACAGTATATAACAAAAATAAAAAAGTAAATAATTAAGATTTATATCTATTATAAAAATTAGAAAAAGTAATTTTTATATTTTATTTTAAATTTATTTCTTTTTAATAATACTTATATTAAATTAATTCTATTTTATTTTTTATATTTTATTTTGAATTTATTTCTTTTTAAAAATACTTATATTAAACTAATTCTACTTTATTTTTTATATTTTATTTTAAATTTATTTTTTTTTAATAATATCTGTATTAAACTAATTCTACTTTATTTTTTAAATAGTGCAAAAAAATATTTTATAAAACTAAAGATGTAGTATTAACAAACCAATTTAATAAATAGTAAAATACTAGTATCAAGATAATAGTTAGAAAAATAATATCAAACTATCACTTAATGCTTTCTATTAGACAATTTCTTATTCTATAACTATAATTACAAAAATATTTTTTTGTTGCAGTCTAATAATAACAATAATTTAAAATCAAATAAAATTAGTGATCCTAATTCTGATGGTTTGGTGTCTAATAAGTATAAATCTAATAATAATATTAGGTCTAATGGTATTACCGGTAATAATTTTGGGTATAATATTAATAATACTGCATCAATATAAATATTTAAAAGCTTATTTAAAATATTTAAAAGTTTTATAAGTTTTATTAATTCGATATTTTTTAAATCTAATAATATTTCTGAATTTGAACATAATAATTTTAGAACTAAACAACTACTGTAAAACAGCAGCCTTAAATACATATATATTAATTTGTAATAATCTCAATAAATTATAAAAATTCTTAGAATAGTTAAAAGCATATACAGTATATATAAAGCTTTACTGTATTTATAAAAATTTTAATAGTGCTATAAAAAGATTATTTGTAACTACGTTAAATGATAAATAACAATCTGCAAAATTTTTAACGCCCAAGATATCCAGAAGTTTTGCACCATATAAACTAAATTTTTTATCAGCATCCTACCATTTTACTAATAATGACATATTAAAAAATTGGTTTAAAAATAATTAAATTTGAAAATAGTCAAACCTTTAAAAACCAATGATTCAAATAATCAACGGCCAACAAAATAATAATTAAAAACCAACAAGTAGCATTAATCCATAACCAACTGTAACTATGGCCAACATTGCTAGCACAGATCCAGGAATACCAGATTTTACGAAATCCATTACACTAAGGTATCGTAATCCCATCTCATCTTCCATCATTATTGCATTCATATTCGGAAAACCGGATATCGGCAGTCCCATAGCTATAGAACACACTAATGCAGACCCCTATATTAAAACTAAAAATTAACAAAATGATATTAAAACAATAGTGCTAAATCACACCAGTGGTCCAAACACTACATATATTTTTGCAAGAATTTTGCTATTAAAATTAAAAACATTTTTGAAGACCTTGGATATTTTTACTTGGTGTGTTAGACACTAATTATTTTGTTAGTTTTAAGATATAGCAATTTTGCTGTCGAATATCACTGGTGTGATTTAGTAGGAAAATTCACAATATAATATATTATTTCAGATCAAAATTCACAAACCATGACAAGTAAATTTCGATGTGAGCCACCCAACTTATCCCCAACTTCAGCGACAATAGGCAAAATAATCAATGCACCGACGGTATGGCTAATAAATGTAGCTACAACCAAAACCAACAGAGCAAATACCACAAACACTTGCCATACATCCAGATCACTAGTCATCGATTGAAAAGTTTTAGCAATAACATGTAAAAGTCCTGAATCATGTACAGCACTACCAAGTGCTATACCACCCATTGCAAGTATAATAACTGTCCACAGAAAATTGTTGAAATCTTCCTTAGTTAAAATACCTGTGCCAAAGAATAGAATCAATGGTACAACAGCTATAACTCCCATATCTCCAAAGAAAAATTCCAGTTGGTTTTCAATGCACCACAATAAAATTGTTATAATAGTGACCACGATAACAAATATTTGAGTTCCAGTCCAAGGATCTTTGGTTGATCGAATTGGGTGAATGGTTAGTGAATCACTATGGGGTTGATAATTCCAAAGTAATAAAAGCCAAATTAAAACATCCACAATTATACATAATGGAATTACTATGAAGAACCATTGAATCCATGTAGGAGAAGGATCCATATTTTGAATTGCTACTATATTTTGTGGTGATGATATGGGAGATGCCATGCCACCGATGTTTGATGCCAAAGCAATTCCTAAAATTAAGCATCTTCCAAATGAACTATCTGGAGGTAAGCTTCGAAGAATTGGCTAACATGTAAAAAATTAACTGGTCATTACATGGAATAAACGTATTGTAATAATAATAATAATAATAATAATAATAATAATAATATACTTGAATTAGTGAAAGGCACAAAACTGGCGCAGCAACATTACTTATCCACATGCTTGCGAAAGTTGCGACAAACATATTGTATAGAAGAACAAAACTCGGTTTTGTTCCGGCTTTCGACAACACAATTGTTGCCATCATTTTGGCGATATGATATTTACTTAATGCGCCAGCAATAGCAAAGCCACCCAAAAGTAGCATTATAACTGGTGAAAACATAGTGGAAAAAATAAGTTTCGTAGCTTCACGTGCATCAAGTCGCTCGTGTGGAGCTTCATGTGATCGTAATACGCGTAAACATACGACCAATAATGGAACTAAAAGTGACGTGACGAAAAGAGGTATAACCTGTGTTATATAGATATTTATAAACATGTAAGTAATTTAAAATTTAAAAAGATCACAATTAGACCAGGATAATCTTTAGGGATCCATGCCGGTACGAGGTTGCCTACGCCCATAGGTGCGTGCCCTAGTAAATTTAACAAGGTCCTTATATTTAACATATGCCCTGGCGCCCGCGCCTACAAAGTGCCCAACAACTTTATGCCAAATAGTTTGCATCTGCGCCCATGCTCATGCCGAGATTGCAGATCCCTAATAATCTTACCTCTAAAGACCAAAGAAGACTAGCAAGTATCAATAGAGCAAAACAATTATTTTGTTCTTCTTTCTTAAATAAGTTTGCATTTAAAAAGAATATAAACGCGGCAATACAAACTATCAATAACAAAACACTTCTCCAAAAAGTGTTAGGCACGGTTACCGTACCAAAAGGTGTTTTAATATTCGCTGGAGTTTCAGCTAATTGCTCTACTGCCACGGGTGCTTTCACACCTACAGCATGAGACTTTCTTTCTAGGCCGATAATATCCCTCCAAATAGTATTCCTTTCCCAGACTATAAATTCCCTCAAATGGGTTTTGAGTTCACGCATTGCAGCATCCATGTCAGCGCTGGTACATAAATGGGAATAAATTTCTTGCACTTTCAAAATGTGATCTTCAAGATTTTTAACAGTTGAAGCTTTAAATGGATACGCGTCATTTACTACATTGCTTAAATAGGAAACCTTAAGATTACTACTGGTAACTTTATCATATTTTTTTAAAATTTTCGAAAATCCTGTTTTGTTTAAAGAGGCAAATGATTTGAGTTCAGATAACCAAACGAAAAGCTCAATGGTACGTTTCTTTAAGTGTATCCTTCGTTCTTCGATGGATGGTGGCCCCCACATATATGTTGGACGCCCATCAAATATATTAATAGCTGAATAATTATAATTTTCATCATCATCACTGCTAATATATGAATTAGCAGCATCTGAAGCTGACCTGCTTCTTCTATAAGAATGAGAACCACGACCTTGACTAAATGCACTCTCAGATGATTGATAAGAAAGACCTGTAACCAGTGAGTTACTATGAACACTCATAGAATCATTAAGATTTTCAAATATGGCGAAGTCATGAATCAGACTCGTAACTTCATCAAAAAGTTCTTTTTCTTTACTGATATAAAATGTACTGATCTTCGCAAGCTCTTTATCAAGTGCTGGAATGAATATAGAATTCGTGCGAGACTTTGAATCTAATAACGGGGACACTTCAATTACTTCAACATCTTCTGGAACGATAGATACCGAAATTATTTCTCTTTCAATCTGATAAACGAGTTTCTTAAGATTTGAGTATCTTCATGAAAAAAAAAAACCAGTTAAGGTGCTTTTAGAAATGGTAACTTGAATTTTTAGATTAATCAAAGTTTTTTTGATAGCAAAAAACATTAAAATCTTTTAAAAAAAAAGGATACGCAATATAGTGTTCAGCCCAGTCTGGTACAGAGTTAAACTGAAGCGAATGAGAGAACTTCATATTCGAGATTTTTCAAGAGAGGTAATACGTGGGTAAAGATTTAAAAATTGCAGTTGATTTTTAATTCAACCGGATGAATCGGGATTAGGCCAAATCAGTAATTTTTTTAATAATAAGGGGGCATCCACATTTAGTGTTAAATTCTAGGGTGGTCCAAGTTATTTGATAAAAAAAAAAAAATAACGCTAATACAAGATTAGAAATATTATGTATAGCTATTTAAATGTGACCGATGAAAACGAAATCAAATGACATTTTGCCTCATCTTTATATAAAAATTACGCGTTATGGTTAAATTTTTGGGGTGGATTTTTAAGATTTTTTTTTTTAGGGTTCGTGTTACGATTTAGGGTTATGATTTGCTAATACTGTAATAGAAAAGTATAAGTGGATTTAAGAATTTAAAACGAAGCCCAAATTTTAATTTCATTCTAGTCCGCATGGATACCTTTTAATACTCTTGTTATGAACGCGATTTGACGATCACGATAAATTGACATTCATATTGTTTGTTTATGAAGATTTACTGTATATATGTGGATCACACACTACGCTAGATTTCATGAAGTTGCTGAACAGTTTTATTCTTTCATGGAGCTAATTTATTTTTTGTCAAGAAACTCTATCTAATTAAATTATTAAAAAAAAAGAAAATATCAAAGATTTTATATTAGCTTTTAGTTTATTTAAGCTGTTAATGAGTGACATACTTCGGAGCTACTACAAGTTGAACCCAACACACGTTGGAGTGGGTTTAAGATGTGCTTACGAATTTGGAACAACCTAAGTAGAATTTGAAACAAGCTTAATTTGATGGAGTGGGTTGAAAGTAGCAATTTAGCGTAACCAATCTAGTGCGTAGTCACAATCTCCCTAATCTCATTTCAGTAGGAATACTTTGAAATATTTAATGGCATGCATACTGTATACACACGGTCAATATATTGCACTAATTAAAGAATCTTGTAAAATATTCAAGCACAAACCACAAGAATCCTATTAATCATGTGTATTGCTTTTAAAATGTGAAGTGTCTGCATTTGGGTATTTATTTTTTTGGCTCATTTGGTTATGGAGTATCTTTGGGTATTTGGGCTTATTAACCCAAAATTTTTGGTTATAAATATAATTAGACATACAATCTAATTATTCATTAGCTTACACAATAAAAAAAGTATGTATGTATTACTTTTTTTCAAAAAAAAAAAAAAAACAATTAGATATTAATGCTAATTACCATTCTCTTTATTTTTTTTCACAATCGATAATATATTTTTATGGGACTAAAAATTAAAGCTATAACGATAATGTTAAGAACGTAGCTTATTCTTTTCATATGCTGAAACTGGTTTTAACTGGTTAAAGCATATGAAAATATAACCGGCTTCAAATCTTAATGACAGCTGTTTTCATAAATTTTGGGTCATTGACTGAATGATTATTCGGTTCATTAAGTTGTGATTTTGGTAATGATCGATTACGTTATGATATGTATATGACATTTTCAAAGCATATTCGGCTTAGTGGTTCAATTGCCAGATATCAAGGCGTTAACAGATCGAATTCTCCAACATTTTCAAAAATATGGGTGTATTGAAAAACTTCTACTGTGGCATTTTTAGAAAAACCACGTTTATTAAATTTTGATATAAAAATTTTTAAACTTTAATGAGCTACAATCAGAAATGGAACTTTGTTAGAGAATAAATAGTTTAACAATTTGGCGAATATACAAATAAAAAAGTATATATGGGCTTGGTGTTGAGAAAAGGGACCAAATTGGTAAAAAAAAAATTTTTCTTTACAAAAAATTAACTATCTCGTGAACTATTAATTAGAATTTTTTTTGTTAATTTGGTTTTTTTAGCATATATAAATGTATATATAATATTTATTTAATTTTTAAATTAATATTATCTAGCTACTTTTTGAATTCTCACTCTAGTTTTTTATAAATTAAATTAAAAAAAGAAGGTTCTTTTTACTTTATTTTACAGTATATAATATAGTCCAATCTCTTTATAGTTATCTCTTATACAGTATAAGAATATATAGTTAAACTCTTTATAGTTATCTTTTATATAAGTACGTATATACTCTATGAATACATTTTTAAAATTAGCATATTTCTTTATAATTATACTTTTTTGTATTTTAAAAGTGTAACTATAAAGAGTTTTGACTGTAGTTGTTTAAATACAACGTAGTTTATTTAAATAATTAATAACTTAAGATTGTTATTAGTAAAATTTGAGTTTTAAAGCTATTATTTGAAGTATAACAATCTAATTACAAAACTATTTATTAATTTTTATACTATATATATTTATAAATATACAGTATAATAATAAACCAATTCTAAAATATATATACTATATATATATATTTATAGTAATAAACCAATTCTGAAATATATATACAAAATACTGTATGCTATAAAATAAGAAAACAGGTATTTTCACACTCGCATATTACATAAAGTGTATTATAGTTAATAGCAAAAATAAAGTAACATTTTACAAGCTGGAGTATTTGGATCACGTATCGTAATATTGTCATAATTTTATAATAATTCTATATATATATAATTTACAAGGGTGTGGAAATACTTGTTCCCTAAAATAAAACAAAAAAATATGCTATTTAAACTGCTAAAAAATTAAAATATTTATGCTAATGAGATTATATCTAATACTAAACAAATTTAATACAAGATCAAAAATAGGTCCAATTCTTAACGTTAGTTTTGGTTGCCACATAACTTTCTTATAAATTTTTTTTTTTTTTTTAAAGATATAGAATAGTCAATCAGTTATATAGGTTCTATGATACAAAAACTAATTTTTAGATTTTCAATTTTAAACATCTAGATATGTTTTTTTTTCTTCGTTAGTCAAAACCACCTCAAAATAATTGCTTTACATTCCGCACTTCCTTTCCACTCTATTATCATAGCAATTGTTATCGCACCACTTATAGCAACACACATCCATCCAAAAGTTTCACCAAATATACCATAAACAGTTTTAACCCTTGGATACAATGGTACTTGAAATATGGCAAATTTAGTATTTGTAATTGTAGTTGGTACATAATGATAAAGCTGCCCGTATGGTCCCCAAACACCGGATATTCCATTTGCGTTACATCTTAACATAGTGAAACCATTTTCTATTGATCGGATAGCATTCATACGAGCATGAAGAATTCCTACGGGACCTATATATAATAGTATGTGAAAATTTAAGGGAAAAGATAAATAAATTATTTTTAAAATATATTGAGAATAAATGAAATTTGATGAAGACATTTTACCCTATAATTTTAAAAAAAAAAATCAATAAAATTTATGATGAAAACTTGTTAGAAAATACAAATAAACTATAAAAAATAAAAATCAATTTAAGAATAATTCAGATAAATACTTAACCCAAGTATTACTTGCATCCAACATTAAATTCACATCTTTACTAGAAGCTTGTTTAATTAACGATGAAAAATCATAATCAAAACAAATTGCCGCACCAATAACACCAAATTCTTTCGTTACATTAGTTTGCAACACATTTGCACCTCGCTTAAATACACTACTCTCTAGAAGTGGAACTAAATGTGATTTTGCATAATCTATTATTATGTCACCTGATGGAGAAATAACTGCTAATTTATTATAATGAGGTAGTTCAGGACGAAAGTCGATATACGCAACACCTATATATGTATTATAAGTTTGAGAAATATTTGTGAGTGAGATTAAAAGGTCATTTAATTGGGTGGTATCAGTTATATTTCCAGAGCCTTCTGACCATAACACTATTTTGCTGCCGTTTGCAGCTAATTCACGAGTTGTTTCAATATAATCGGAATTAGTCGAAGAATTTTGACGAATTACGCAACCCATCATTATTAACGAGGAAGGAGCGAAATCATTAATACTTTGCTGATAAAATGGTACGTATCCAGTTGAAAGTCTAATAGAACCATAAGTGATGACTAAAAATAACACGACTAAATATACAAAAAGGGAAGTAAAAATTGGAGGTATAGAAAATTTAATTAAATGACGTTTACGATGACTATTGTTGATGGGTAAAATTGTGTCAGTGCTATGGTCTTCCAAATCTTGATCGACTATCAACGGACCAGTATCTTGAATATTTAATGATTTTTTTGTATTAGTTAGAAGCCAATTAGTGAGTACGTCACAACCTATAGGGCCACCCCAAGCTAGGACAAAATTTATGCCGCCTAAACCGGCAAATGAAGCGAATTGCAAAATTTCATCTGTTCCAAGAAGAGAAAAACTGAAATTTAACATACAAATCTAATATAAGAATTTTTATAATCGAAACTTTCAAAAATAAAAATATATATATATATAAAAATAGAATAAAAAAAATACATACGCATAATTTGTTATATCACCAAAAACCCAAGTGTAAAGAAATATTGTCCATAATCCTAAGATTTTTTTTCAAATAGAAAAAATAAACCGAATTAATAATTATATAACCAGTGCAAATATTTATCCTAGTAGTTAGAACAATAATTCTAATTCTTATAATAAGATAAAAAAAATTATAAATAAATCAAGAGAATTACCCGTCCAAACACAAGGGAATGTTAAAACTCTTGCCCACCCAACAATACTAAACATATGTTGAGAAATTTTGTCTAAAATCAAACTTATAAGCATAATCAGATTCACCAATAAACCGATAGAGAATATTATTCCCGGATAACCTTTTAAACCGACAGATCCCAACATATTCATATAAGCAAACATAAAACCTATACTATTAAGTATGTAATAAATTATGAAAAGCCACCATTTTGATGTATTACGTATATAAAATATTGATAAAATGAACCATAAAAATGTAAAGGTTGATATAGATTGAAATCCGGGACCAAAAATTGTTAGTACAGGAAGTATTGGAATGAGAAAATGAAGTTTTGGAGAATTTGAAAGTGAGGAAAGAGACGTTTGTGATGGTGTTCGAAGGTGACTAGATGGATCCATTGTCTACAAATTAACATCTGCTAGTTCGTTATGAAATTTATAATGAGAAATAATTAAATGATTTATTTCTGATATAGAACGGGAAAAGATCATCAAAAAAGAATCGGTATTTACCTCTTGTGTGTTTAATTAAGATGCTAAGTGGTGTGACCATTAATTTATTCAAAGTCTTAAAGGGCTCGTGTAACATGTCAATTCTTTTTCCGCTATGTATTTTTAAAACCTGACATTAATTTGAGACAAACTCAGTTTTTCTGATGAATTGATCAAAATTGTATTAAGAAAATGAGGAATGTGTTCATGTTTAATAAAAGTAAAAATTCATCCTGATCATGAATATCTCCCTTAAGAAAGCGAAGAATCATTTGTTCAGCATTGATATTCATTGTGATTATTCTTGATATATATATATAAAACAACGCATATTTATACATACAGTATATTCGGAATTAAATGGACTTAAATGAATTTATATTCTAAAACAACTTAATGAACAAGAAACCCGAACTTTATTTTATTATATATAATTTTAATAATAAAAAATAAAATACGTATACATATTATTATTATAAATTATCCATTATAATGTACAGCAAATTGTTAAATGCTTATTTTTTTTAATAACATTCGAATATTTTATCATATTGAATACCTTTGACATTACGTGGAGACACCTACATCCCTTCAAGCTTCTGATCATTCTTGGTAACAGGTAGTATCAAGAATTCTGCTTTCGCATCGTAAATGATATGTCGTGTTGAGATAGTCAGCTGGTAAAATAAAGATTTTCTTCCAAGCTATTTCATTGATCAAATAATTAAAACTTGTAATAGAAGAATAATGATATAATAATCTATGAAAAAGTTTTTAAATGAATTATACCGGAATATTTATCGCTGTTTTCGAAATGGTTGAGAATAGTGAGCTTTACAAAAAAAATTTTTTTATGCGAATACCTGAAAACCCGAAAACCCGAATAGTTCAGAACACTGATCGATAATCGATTCCGATTTACGGGGGTTCCTTAAAGCCGGGCAGATTTACATATTAATCTACATCTTGCATAACTTGCGTTCTTGATATTCTAATACCTGCTAACCATAACTGCATCAAAAAAGTAACCCTAACTTCTGCCGGGCTTTAAGGATCCCCGATTTACGGGTATTCGCATAAAAAAATTTTTTTTTGTAAATCTTGCTATTCTCAACCATTTCGAAAACAGCGATAATATAATTCTGTATTACATACGGAATTCGCCGCAAATTCCGTATTTTATATACGGGAAATGATATGGAATCTATAAAAAAATGAATTCCTTATGCATATTCCATATATAAAATGCGGAATTTACGACGAGTTCCGTATGTAATACGGAATTATACCAAATATTCCGTATATATAATTCATTTAAAATACGATGCTCATAATTATTTAGTTGCGTAAAATTCTGTTACCACCTCGTTTTTTTTTAAGATCGAAATCAAGTTAATTCCGAATCTACAGATTTGTTCTGTATTCATCTACAACATAAATAATTATTAATATCAATAAAAATTAGAAAAAAAAAAAACCGAATAACAAAGGAATTCGTGTAAAGATGTGACCAATTTATCTGAACGACCAGATAATCTGAAATTTACAATTATTCAGGTTATTTGGTATCCGGATGACATCAAAAAAAAAAAACGAATAACAAAGGAATTCGTGTAGAGATGTGACCAATTTATCTGAACGACCAGATAATCTGAAATTTACAATTATTCAGGTTATTTGGTATCCGGGATGACATCAAAAAAAAAAAAAAACTAATGGAGATAAAATCAATGGTAACGATAATAAGCGTTTAATAATCTACCGGATACAACCACTATTTATTTGAATGAATAACAGATTCATGTTGCAATGGATAATGTAAAGGTGGATAGATATATGCGCAAGGTTATCTCAATAAATTAGATTTTTAATACTTTCTATCGCAAATATAACCTCAATTTGAAAATTCTGATGCTGATTATACTATATCAAGTCATCAACAAAATCACGGTATCACCTTCGATGCAAACCATATTTTAAATTGGGCAAAACGGTGCTGGAGTTTACGGATTGGTCGATAATAAAAGATATTAGTTTTGTTTATAAGTAAAGAATTAAGCTTAAAAACGTTGTGCAGCTACGTACGTACATACTAATATTCTAATTTTCAAATAGAGGATCATGTTTTGTGGCTGTGCTACTTCATTACGTTCGATATTACTTACCATCGCAATCTGTTGTAGCACAAGCGATGTAGGTTGTAATGTGTACGTCGTAATAATGTTCAAATAGTTATAATAAGCGTCATAGTTAAAATGCTTGCTGTATTTATATACTAACCTAGGCACGTTATGGGCAAGTAAGCCTTTTATTTTAGCTTTGATAATTAAGCACTGATTGTGTAAATTTTAGAATGAACTTTGTTTTAATAAAAAAAGATATGATTTTACAGAAAAGCAAGATAAATTATGGTCTATTATTTGATTTTCATATATATAGTCTGCTAATAAAATGGGATGAGATAGAATTGTGATAGAAAGTTAATAAGAGTTAAATAAAAGGTTGAAAACTCTTATACTGTATCAAAATTTTACAAACTAAAACTAATATTCTATATCATTTGACTTTAATATTATTTTAAAGTGTTCTAACTTAAGTTTATATATCTGTTTTCTGAATTTAAACATAATATTTTTATAGATGTTTGCAGTTATAATTTTTCACTGTGCGGACTGTGCGTAGCACAAAGAAACAAAATTTTGCGCACACTTTTTTTGAATAGATGTGCGGATGCCCAAGTAATGCGCACAGTTGCAAATAGTTTCTCGTGTTTCTTTTTTTATTTGCCGCACAGAAAGATCTATAAATTGTGCGGCATCCGCACAGTAAATT